CATCCTTCCCAGGGAATCCAATTATGCTAAATCAAATACATTGAGGACCTAATCCTACAATGCTGATTTCAATAGGAGTGAATGATGTGGGCTTTACTCACACCTGGATAGCACTCTGTCCTGGCAGCTCTGGGGATTAGCTCAGACAGGCCTATGCCCCTTGCCCATTCCAGTAGTCCCATTCTATCACTCCATTTTCTCCATCTTTTTTCCCCCTCTCTCCAGCTCCTCTCACATTCTAGGAATGGTCAGCTCCTCTTTGTGACTCTGCCCTCCTCATTATATGGTTTCCCCATCAGGAGTAGTTAAGTCCTTCCACACACAGTTAATCTATTCCAAGCAATCTTCTTCAGCCCCATGCTGATGGTCTTATTTTCCTAGTGGCCAGCAGGAGACCCAGACCCACCCTCAGGCCCATGTTTCAGCTCAGGGACCCTCTATACACCACCCACAGTCTGCTCCCTCCTGAAACTTGCTGCCTTTCCCTGAGCTCTTCTGGCTCTCTCAAGACCTCTGGGTTTGCCAAACAGAAATTGCTCCTCTCTGAGAGGAGCTGCAGGCTAGCTGCTCTAAATAGCCCCCAACACATCTTCCTTCTCCCATACACCTCCTTTGGTTGTTCATGTCCTGGATTTATAAACCCCCATCCAGTTCCTCCCTCAGCTGGACTTCATCAGCTAGTTAGGCCTTAAAAGAACCCAGCTTTCCTCCAGGTGCAGCTTCTAGGCTAATTGGTCTAGTTTACTCCTTCAAGCCTCCTGTAGGTGGGACACTCTATCTCAAGAAGGTTCCTGCCTAGCCTCAGACTCATGGGATGTTTTTCCTACAGTGATAAGCAGTAAAATGTATAACAATTGTTCCATTTAAATTTTCATCATTAAGCTTCAGAATCAACAGCCTAGCTAGATGAGGGGAAGGGTACATCACAGCTGCCTAGTGCACAAATGCTGTTTTGATAAGTGACACAGTTGTCTCCTTGCTCTATTACAACATAGCTCCAATTGTAATAAAGGGTATGTAGAGATTTGCTGGCTGGCCAGTGTATTAAAGGTGGTATTCTTGAGAATATAATGGAGATAAACAGGGGACAGTTAGTTAGAATGGCATTGTAACCCAGTCAATGGCCAGCTGCATTGTATATGAAAGTCACTGATAAAGTTATATGTATCATGTGTGAGTAGATAGCCCTCAGAGCTACTGTTCCAGTTTCACTAACAACACAGAATAATTTTTTTCAACATTGCCTAAATGACTTAGGAATTTGAGTCACATTGTCAATAGTGATTTTGGGCTTTGTCTATACACAAAAACTCTGCTACTTTAATTACTGTTACAAGTCCCCTAGGGTCGGTGCAGATATGTGGGTATAAGGTCACTTAATTATTTTGGTAGAAAAATGGTATCTCTAACAAGAATAGTTAAACTGATACAAGAACTGTGTGTAGACATGGACTTAGGTTCCTAAGTCACCTAGGTGCTCCTGAAACTTTTACCCAACATGTCATCAGGGTCACATTCAGAGGGACCAACCACTAAAGTGCATCTCAAATTAAATCTTAAATTCTGCAAGATGCATTAAAATAACCAGAAATTCACAACACACTATAAAGCCAGGCTCTAGTGAGACATTTCTTCAGCAGGTTTTTCCTGTTGTTCTTCTTGTGTGTGAAGGGCAGCATGATTCTACATTTGGAGCAGCCTTCTTCCCTACTTTAAACTGGGAGAACAACTATTTCACCTTGTGGAGCCTTGAATTTTGGCTAGCCATTTACAATTTGGACAGGCACAGTGTGGTGTTTAGGGAGGGGGTGCCTGTCATGTTCAAAGTATGTAGAGATTTGCTGGCTGGCCAGTGTATTAAAGGTGGCTTCTTAAGAGTATAATGGAGACAAGCAAAATACTGCAACTGGACTCATGGGGGGAGAAAGGGGAAGAGTTACCAAAATGGCTTCCTTTTTCATTTGTTTACTCTCCCCTGGTGTGGCTACTGTGTGTATTATTTCCTCCGGAGCGATTTGCATTAACATGCCACTTCTTACATGAGAGGCGCTCTCCTGGGTTTTGTCTGGTTTGTTTTCCCTGTAGCACAGACAGTGTGGGTGTGTGGAGGAGGGGGTACATGCAATGTTCTACATTAGGGGGATTTGTGGGGACCGCCTTGTGTGCTATACGTTGTGTGTGCATTGCCTTCATAGATAAGCGTGGCGATCTTCTGTGTGTGTGTGTGAGAGAGAGAGAGAGAGAGAGAATTGACTGGCGGGAGGAGAGTTATTAGGAAACTTTGCTTTGGCTACTCTCTATCCTTGGGGCTGCGTGGCGCCAGCACCCTCAAGTTGAAAGGAAAACAGCCATTCTCATTTCCAACTGCCCACTGAGATCCTTAAGGCGACAAAGACACCAAAGTGAGTTTTATTTGCTGGTAAGCCGGAGGGAAGAGAAAAGAAAAGCCAATTCCCCCTTAAAACGAGCCGACAAATCCTTTTTGCTCTTTTGTGTGCGCTTTTCCTATTCACATGGCGCGTTCATCCGTGTGATTCCCAACTTATTGTCATTACTTAGTTATTAATTGTTCTCATCTGGGTTTAATTGAGCAGCCAGGGACTTTCCCCCAGGGGTCAGCGGAGGGAACCTAAAGCAAAGGCACGTTCGTAGGACTCGGGGCTTCAGAGATTGATCCCAAAGGAGCATCGTGTAAAACAGTCCGAGCGATGAAATGGCATCGCTCTGGTTTCAAATCTCAGCTTTGTTTGGGCTGGAAGCGATGTCTTACCCAGCCAGGGCTGAGGGAGGCAGCCCCTAGTTTCCCAAAAGCAAACGCTGCGTCCCGTGAAGCCCGGGGCTGACTCCTGCCGGGGGGTCCTTTGAAAAGCGCTTCTCAAGGTACATTCTGGGACCAGGAGGCTGCGCTAGCCCGGGCCGCTGTCTCCGAGCCGGAAGGTGGGAAATCGCCAGCATCTCGGTGTGGCTCGCCACGGCACGAGGGGCTCTGGACATTATTGCAGCCGCTGTCACGTTCACAAAGCGGGGAGAAGAGGCCAGAAAGCCGGGCACGCAGGGGGAGAAAAGGACCGGGGGTAGGGGGAAAGTGAGGGGAAAGCGGGGTGCTCACAACAGCCGGCGCTTGAGAGAGGGGCAAGGCGCACGTCTGCAGGGCCGAGTTATTGACAGCGTCGTGGATATTTCGAAGACGATAAAAGCCCCGCGTTGCCCCCAGCTACAGCCTCGCTGGAGCCACATGGCCTGGGCTCATTACAGCAATTACTTCCCTCCTAACTTTGCTGCAGTCTCAGTGTTTTCAGTTGCTGGGATCAGGCAAAGCCCGGCGCCCTTGCCTGGACGTAGAGACAGAAATAGGGGAAAGAGGAAAGTGCTTCCCCAGCGACCCTTCGCACAAACCAGTGGCAGGGCTGGGCAGGATTTATGGGGCGCATTCATGTCACAGCGACAATGGGCGCGTCTCCTGGGGGACTTCACGCTTGGACGCGGTAGGATCTTGGGGGTGTAGCTCGGGTCCGTGGGTTTCTGGGGAGATGTTTCCCTTTATGCCCCGGATTGGTACGTGAACACCGGAACGAACCGCTGCGGCCTGCGGGCCTTCGCGTTTGGCGGGTTCGCCTCCCCGCACCCGCTAGCCGAGTGCTCTCGCCCGGGCTGGCCCGTGGCTGCCCTAGGCCAGTGCCCGCGGTGTAAGGGAATCCCTGGAGTGGCTCTAAGGCTCGACACGTTCAGACTCCGATCAAAGCCGGTTTGAAATTGACCTTTGGGAGAGTTACAGAGTCCAGAGAACCTGGGGGTCCCTCGGAGCTCTCCAGGCGCCAGCGCTAAGCTGAACACCATCAGGGAAGAATTTGAGCTGCCCCGCCCCCTTTCCTGTAGGAGACTCACGTCCCTAGCCCCCATCCGCCACCCCAAATTGCAAGATCTGTCCCCTCAGCCTCCCAGTCCCCCGCTTGCTGGCTTTCACCACTGCCCACCCAACACAAGGCATGGAGGTATCCTGGGCTCCTTTCCACCCCGAACCGGGGGCGACAATGTCCCGCTCCTTCCTCCACCTCCCCCGGGACTGACTAGAAAGTATCCCCTATCACCGCAATACCCCCCTTAGTACACCGAGTGACCTGATTAGAGCCCCCTCCGCAGTCTCCTTCAGCCCGTAGATCGGTCAGGGTCCCCAAGGGCAGCCTAGCCTAGAGAAGGGCAGCCTCGGATTTCCCGAGGTCTAGTTTGCTTGTAGCCCCGATAACTTTTCAGAGAAGACACCAGTTTCCGCCTCAGAGCTTTGTAATACTCCTGCAATGCTCCCGGAGTTTTGAACTGGACAAATGGCTGGAAATTGGGGAGAGGGGTGTATCTCAGCAGCAGCACACGGGTTAGAAATGTGTCACCTACTTCACTAATCGCATGGAGAACTGGGGCTTGTGAAATGTGGCCACGTGGGGAAGTTAGTCTGTTCAACCCGGCTTTGAATTAACCTGGGACAAGGAAGTGGGGAGTCAAGCTCCCGGAGTTTTGAACTGGACAAATGGCTGGAAATTGGGGAGAGGGGTGTATCTCAGCAGCAGCACACGGGTTAGAAATGTGTCACCTACTTCACTAATCGCATGGAGAACTGGGGCTTGTGAAATGTGGCCACGTGGGGAAGTTAGTCTGTTCAACCCGGCTTTGAATTAACCTGGGACAAGGAAGTGGGGAGTCAAGCAATCAGCCGAGCAATTCTTGTCGAGTCCAGATTGCTCGCTGGCTCAGGATATTTATTTCGCATTAGAGGAAAAAAGTGTGTGTGGGGGGGGGGGAGAGACTTATAAAGTAAAATTAAAATAACTTCTAAAATATGTGACGGGCTGGGCAAGGCAACAGGATGTGTATCACCCCCAGGAAAATATTTCTCTCCATGTGTGCTCTCTGCGGAATTTCAGTGATGTCTTAGTTGGGAGGAGAACAAATTCCAATTCGTTAGCTCAGTTCTGGGGTGGAGACAAAGGGAAATCAAAATGCGCCAATCCTTGTAGCTTAAAATTAATTTATTTAACAAATATAGCTATAATATAAATGATAATAAAATTTCAAATATACAGTATATTACATAGTACACAGAGCCCCTTCCAAAGGAGCGGTTGGAGGAAGAAACACAAGTAACAGACAGCGCTGTTAAATGGATACCGCGAGACTATTGGTACATTTTGTCTCTGTCTTGCTTGAGAGAGAGAAAAGTGTTCCTGGCATTCAGCCTGTGTCATCTCCGTCCCAAGCCAACCCTTCCCCAAAACGCAGTGGTCTGTCCCCAAACTCTTAGCGCTGCATGTCTGGAGTTCACCTGGGAAGGAATCAGAGGGCTTGGAGCCAGGCCCCTGGTCTGAGCTGGAAGCTGGTTGATGTTTTTGGCTTCCCCCGGAGGGGGCATCGGCTCTGAAGGAGGAGCAGCGCGTGGAAAGCACTGGCAAGGGCGCAGAAGACTAAAGAGCTAAAAGAGGCCAACGAAGCCAGACCTGACCGTGGGGCCCCCGTGGCTGGAAGTCTCTGCAAAGGGGCCCTTAGGAACTTGGCAGAGTTTAAGGAGCCTGAATGGGACGGGAGGCCCAGGGCCGAAAGGGGAGGGCACCTGAAAGCCAAGCGGGGCTTGGTGAGGACGAGGGGGTTAGGCTTGGCCAGGAGCTGGCTTTGGAGGGAGGGGTGCCCCAGCCAGGCTGCTGTCGGTGGGCTCCATGCGCCCGCTGCCCTCTATGTTAGGTGGTACATGCTGTATCCCACGTGAGCTGTGTACAGTCCCACGGGAGCCACAGGCAGCCCTGCCCGCTGGAAAGGGCTGGAGGCTCCGTACAGGGAAGCGCCCGCCACGGCCGGGCCGCCCAAAGGGAAGGAGATGCCGAAAGCGGCCGGGGGCAGCATGGGCTTGGCTGCCATCTTCAGCTTCTCCAGCTCGGCCTCCTGCAACCGCTTGGCCTTGGCGCGCCGGTTCTGGAACCAGATCTTCACCTGGGTCTCGGTGAGGCTCAGCGAGCTGGAGAACTCGGCTCGCTCGGCGATGGACAGATACTGCTTCTGCCGAAACTTCCTCTCCAGGGCCAGCAGCTGCGCCGTGGTGAACGGGGTCCGAGGCTTCCTGTTGGTCTTGTGCTTGCGCAGGGTGCAGGCCGGGGGGCTCAGCCGCCCTGCGGGAGGGGAGAAGGGGCAACAAGGACACACAACAATAAAACCCAACTGAGTATCCGCGCATCGCACCTGGCACGGGGCAGAGCTGCAGAGCCGCTCCCGGGCGCAGGTTGCTAAAGTCCCAGCCAGACTAGGAGTGGGCGAGAGGGTTGAGTCTGGGGGCTAAACGTCAGGACCTAACCCCTACCCAAATGCAGCGGGCTGGGGCAGCGAAGCGGGCCCATCTCCAGTGTTTAGGACACCTTTGAAATGACCCGACCATCTCCTGCGGAGGAGCGGTGTATACTCTCCCCAGATGGTCACTGCGAGTCCCAAGGATACTAATATCCACTGAGGCCTCATAGCTAGATCCCCAGCCTCGCTTCATACCGAATACCCTACACCTACACAATGCTTTGCACTGGATCAGGTACCCATGTCCTCAGGGCCCGCTTAACTTTGTAAAAGGCACAAGACGGGAAAAGGATAGCGGCATTAACCTACGACAGAGCGGGAAGAAAGTACGCGTTGTCTTTTTTTATTAGACTAACTAAAAAAATAAACAAAACAGGCCGGCTTTTGCAGGCTCACACCCTCTTCATTAGGCCCCTGGGAAAGAGATTAAGCCTGTAATTAATTATGAGTTCTGAATTAACACTCTGTCGCCCTATTGCCCTTCATCGTTCTGCTTCCTATGGCCTCATTCAAAATACAAGAGTCTCTCCCAACCTCTGGCCTATTTTATTTTTAGTTTAAAAATACCGCTACTTATTTTGTAATAGAAAAATAAATGAAAGCCACGAAAAATAGGCTCCACACAACGCCTGTCTTCTCCCAACGGCCTTTGAACGAGTTTCGACCGTGTCTAGGGCAACTTGGGTATACAGTAAATTCTGCTCATTTTATTTAGGAAGGCTAGCAGAATGGGGCCCACAAAGAACTAGAGATAGGATGCTTCTCCTCGGAGTTTACAGAATTTCTGGAACTCTGTACAATAACTAGGCAGGTTTGGTTTCATATAAATACAATTCAACCGGAGGGATAGTTTTACAATTGTACTTGTATTTGTATCAAGAATAAAGTGGGAAAATATACATTTGCAAGATTCATGTGTTTTCAAAGTAAGCCACTTGCAATCAGAGCCTGCCGTCACGACGCCTATAACAAAGTCCCAGATCTTTGGGTGTCTCGCTACCAAACAAACTACTTCCAAGAGGAACGCCACAGCGCTGAGGCCATGCTAGCAGAATGGGTATGGTTCGTTCAAATCCACACTTTAGCGGGCATACGCCATCAAGTATTATTTCCCCCAAACGTTTGGTATGAGACATTTCAACTCCTCCCTGCCATGAGGCCATCTTCGGTCATTGGCGACAATGTAAATACCGTTTGTTTGTTTTTAAAGTTACTGTGTTAAACGCGCTGGGAAAGGGGGAAATCGTACGGAACGTCAGCATAACTAACCCAGCGTAAAGTGGGACTCCATGCTCCGTGCTCTGCGAGGGCTGTCCCGCACGGCAGGCGATGGGCAATAGCCCGGGGTGCTGTTTTGGGGCGAGGGGGGAACAAGCGTGACTTCTCTATGGTGCAATTTAAAACTAACTAGCAAAAGCCTCGGCCACTGAGTCCCAAACATCCGTGCTGCGGAATCGCCCTGCGAGCGGCACCGCGGTCTGGTGCCCAGCGCCTAGGCGGTACCACCGACACACACACACACACACACACACACACACACACACACACACACACACACACACACACACACACACACACACACACACACACACACACACACACACACACACACGAGAGCCGGAGTTCCTACTTACTAGGAGGGGGTGGGGAGAACCTGGGGCTCTGCATCCAGGCCGTCCTCTCTTGCTTCTCGGGGCTCTCCGATTTGACAAGGGCATCTTCGGGCAGCGTTACTAGTCCCCCGACAGGAAAATGGCTGTTGATCGGCAGCGGGGAAGCCGGCGTGTCTGCTGCCGCCGATAAAGATCCCACCCTGGGACTGAGCGTCTGGTGAGTAGAAGTCCCAGCAGCCAGAGGCACTGCCCCTTCGGGGCTGGGGGCGAGGATCTCTCTGGCCCCCGGTTTCCTGTGATCAGCCATGAGCGCCTCCACGCTGAAGGGCAGGAGGGAAGGGGACACTTTGGGCTTGTCAGCCTCCTCCTCTCCGCCCATCGCCGCCACGCTCGCCGGGATGCAGCTGCCGGGCTTGCTGAAAGCAGACGCGGGAGGCTCCTCGCTGTTGACCCCGAGCTGTACAGTAGTCATATCAACGCCGGGGGCCATGCAGAGGCAGTCCTCCTCCCCGAGCTCAGCGCTGAGCCGCGGCAGCCGCCGTTCATGGGGGTCGGGACCAGCCAGTGCAGCAGCAAACTCCTTCGCTTCGCTTTCGGGGCGTCGGGCACTTTACAGCCCCAGCTCCCCGCAGGACTTGCTAATAAGGCCGAGCGAACTCCAGAGCTGTCCAATCAGCGCGCAGAGGGGAGGGACGGCCGCTTCCCATTGGCCGCGGAGCGGGACTTCGCTACTATCAACAGGCCGCTGCCTTCTTGCTCCTGCTGTACCGCGAGGATGTTAGTGGGAAACTTTCCTCTGGAGTAAATCCTGTGCCCCTGTCTCTTGTCTTTGGCAAGAATGGCTCCCATTCAAGCCTCTTGCGTTCTATTCATGCCAGGGTTTTGTTTGGTTGGTTTTGTTTTTACTGCGATGGAAATTCTATGAGCGGCACATTTCTAACCCCCAGATTGTTATGGGTTGTTTTTTTTTTTTTTCAGTGTAAAGGAGCCCATGGGTCGTTGATGCTAGACACATTCTACGTCTTGTTGTTGGGTTTGTTTTTAAATCGATGGCAATGAGAAATAAAGCAAACTCCCACTTATACAAATGCCCTCCGTGTTTATGCCCAATAAACGCCTGCGGCGCGTGGTGAAGAGTAGAAAAGATCCAAAGGAATAATATTCGGGTATACTAATACACTCCCGAAATTAAGTCTAGTTTTGCCTGCTATGGACATAACATGTTAACATAACTAAAACACCGCTGCCCCTGGTGCGACTTCGCAATGTGGGTCTTTATACACTTCACCAGCTGTCTGTGCGTTCAAAACAAGATTATTTTAAAATGAGCACATATCTTGTAAACGCCGGTGTTTCCATGTACTTATGTCTCTGTAGATATATATAAAGTGAAAGTGTGATATAACCATTAAATATGCGCCTGGATGTGCATAGATAATAATATATAATAAAATATGCATTAATGTAAAAAGAAAACCTAAGCTTCTCGACCCATTAAAGACTTAGCCATTTTGTTTTGTAACTTTTGTTTTACGATCCCTTATCCTTGTGCCCGGGACGGATGTGCAGTAAAGCTGAGCAGCTCTCTAAAACCGTGATTGGCCACTCGCTGAGAAAAGTTTATTGATAGCTGCAGGGCTCTAATCTCCTAGAAACACAAGAGGCTCTTGCAGTCATTTAAGGGTAATTATCTAAACGGGGAGGGACAGCGAATTCCCTTTCATTTTAACTGGACCCAATAAAACTTGTAGGTTATGAGCGTATAGGTTATGAAACTTTATTATCTGGTAAGTGACAGATCTGATTGAAATGAATTATCTTGTATATAATTCATTTTTCCACACATATATGTCTATGTGTATACGTGCGCAAGAATGAATTTTATATATATAATTATTTTTAAATAAAGGATCCTATAATATACGCACCAAAATATTATACTGCGTATAGGATATAGCATATTTTGGTCCGTATATTATATATGATCCTTTACAAAAAGATTATTTGTATGTGCTTGTTAAAAATGTACTCTCAGATGTCTGCACACCTAGACACACCTATAAAATATATGTGAAGTGTACTGCAATTTGCTACCACATTTCATTCAGGTGTGACCCTTACATTTTCATTTACAAGCTGACGTGAAAACGGTTTCAAATACAGTCATGGGATCAAACTCATAGTCTGTTGCTGTTCCTTTTTAAAACCCCATAGCTCCTGCTTTCGGATAGCCGCGTGGAATGTGCAAGTTCTGCCCGGCCTCCCTTCTGCAGTCTGGTGGGAATGAAGAGCAATTTTTCCCCCTGCGGCTCCTATCGATCCTTGTGAGTCGGTCCGCTGGGGTGAGTGGCTTCCCCGAGAAGCGGCTGCATTGCTAATTGCGAGAATAAACAATCTGTCACGATTAGTCAGTGCCTCTAATAGGCAGACAAGTGATGTTGTTTTTAGGCGCCAGCAGCGGTCTGATCAAAGGCTTCAGCTGGAGGGGGACTATTGAGGACGTTAACCCGCATCAAGGGAGCAAGACGCCTTAGCCCTGGGACATCAGCACATTCAGCCTGACAAAATTAGTTTGCTCTACCAATCACAGCACATTTTCCCAACCCCCGATGCTGGATGCGGGGCAACATTTCTTCTTATTCTTCCAATATAAAATCTTTGTGTTTTTTTTTAAGTTGCCCATCAGGTAGGATTCTTATTTCTGGTTTCCAAACGCAGTAGTTCAACAAGAAAGGAAGGCGTAATTGTTCGACCTTTGTTAGCAGCCTTTACGTTGCTGTCGGACGTGAATGGAAAATATCTTGCTTTGATTTTTTTTTAAGAATGTAGCGAGGGGAGTGGCGGGTGTCGCTGGGGCTGTAGGAGATGGGTGTGTATCCCATCCTGACAGCGAGATCCTGCTCTAGTTGAGAGTTGTCAGGAGATAATTGTCCTTATTTATCTCCCAGCAATCAACGTTTTATGTTTACATTTCTGTCATACCTGGTGGGATGTTAATCATTGTAACAGAGCAAGGGCTAGGTTGTAATTCACAGGCTGTGGCAAGCGCTTTGCTTGAAAAGGGGAAGCCAGTAGTTTCTTTCATTTTTTTAATTAACATACTAGACCCTATGCAGGAGAAAGCGACCCCTTTTACCTCGGTGCAAAGAAATCTTCCCTGAGATTGTTTGATATGTTTAGCGGAAGGATTTTAATGTCAAAGCTTTTCCTGTGTGAGTTGCTCTGCTCTGGAGGATCTAACACTGAGGGATCGTAGGCACTTTATTTTGCTGGTGCTATGATAGGACTCTGACAGCTGCTTTGCCATAACTCTCCCTCATTCTCCTTTCGGGGCTCTCAGAAATCCCGAAATGAAGTGAGAGCAGAAGGAGGTGTTATGGCTCCCTGTTTTAGCCAGTGTTTTTATTGGAATTAGCGAAGCCTCAATTAGCGTCCTACGCCGTCCAGTTTAATACAGTAACTGTGCTATGAAAACCCATTACCTATCGCATTTTTTTCAGTGTGTGAATACAACAAATGATTATAAGGAGAAGGGGGGAGAGATAAGGCAGCTCTCAGCCAATTCAGGGCATTGTCTCACTTTTGTAAACGTTACTTTTGAATGAGAGCGGAGAAATACGAAAGAAAGGGTTGAAAAAACAGTAGTTCCCTTTTGTCTTAAGTTACTGGAGATCAGACAGCTCGGCAAAGTACAAGACAGACTTTGCAGCCTCGGAAACTGAGTTCCAGAAACCGAACTGTAAAGACACCCTGGAATTGGACTCAAAGTGGCCATGTGCTTGCATTTGTAACCAAGGATGCCCGGTACTGCAGATCGTTTGGAAAGATACATCAAACTATGCGCGCGGTACTTACAGATGTCTAGTTCGTTTATTATGTGTCTGGGTCTTTATGGAAACTACCCAAAGACCTACACACATTCCTAGTGTTAAAATTGTCCTGCAGACTTACTACTCTCTCAGAATCCTAAGCTTGCACACACACGTCCTCTTTTCCAGCCCTGAACCTTAATAAAGCGAAACGAGCTGATCAAACATATTTTAAGTACTTTTAAGGTCCGAGCCACCTGGTATGTTCCTCCTGAGATTACTCAGAGTGGTAATTTTGTTGGTCAAACAAGCCCCCCAATTGCAAAGGCGTCCTTGTCTCTTTAAGACGCGGTGGGGCTCGCGGCTGAATGGAAGGCACTATTTCAAGTGGCCCAAATTAATTTGATCGCGACATTATGATGCACTTGGAAAAGATGAAAGCAAAGGCTGGCCGTCTCCTCCAAGATCTCTATAATTATAGATAATATATCCTATTTCAAAGCAATTAGCTCAATCAGGCGTAACGAGGCACTTTGCTGCCAGGGAGTAACAATGCCTTACGGTTATTTAAGCTTCAAGATGTCAAACAGACTCCGAGACTCTTTGCTTTGCCCAAAAGGGAACTTGTCTCTCTTGGTAAAAGTCCCCATGGCAAACGCAGTGGATTCCCTTCAGTGACAACACGCCTTTTAAAGAGGGGGAGGGGCTTTGATAAATATACCAACTTCTGTAATGTACTTCAGCATCACTCCCTATAGGTGATTGTGTCGATGATGGTGAAAAGACACAAATGGTATCATATCACTAGTGCTCGCTCCCGGTGAAATGAAACTGACCTCCGTGTAATGTTTTCCCTCTCTTAGTATTAATTTAGTATAATTTTAGCAATTGATTTAGGCTTCTTTTGTTTTCCAAGCTACTCGTTCAACTTCTTTCTTTCTTTCTTTCTTTCTTTCTTTCTTTCTTTCTTTCTTTCTTTCTTTCTTTCTTTCGGATAAAGCATCCATCCATTGATTGAGTTAATCGTCCAGTCTCGCCAACAAATATGATCAAATCTGATTAAAAACAACTTCCATTCATCCTTTTTCTTCTTTCCGTGAGCCTGATCCTACCCCTCATTTAACCCAAAGGTAGTAGAGCAGTCGATTTCAAAAGGAGCAGCATCGGGTCCAAAGTTTATTTCTGCTCGGGAGTAGCCTTCCACGCAGGTATCTGCGACTTGGCATTCCCTAGCAGCTGTTAACCTGAGGGGCTGCTTTGAGGCATCTGACGAAGTGGGTCTTTGCCCACGAAAGCTTATGCTCCAACACTTCGGTTAGTCTATAAGGTGCCACAGGACTCCTCGTCGCTTTTGTAGATTCAGACTAACACGGCTACCCCTCTGATGCTTTGAGGTTGTTCATTTAACCCTCTTTAGGTTTTCAAATGAATTGCTATCTCTTTTTATCTTAAACATTAAACACATAGCGGTGACAAGGCTCCCAAAGGAAAATTCGCCCCCCACCTGCCAGTGACTATACATTATATTCTTCCATGCGTTAAAAATGGGTTGCCTTTTTTGCATGCACAATTCTATCAGCGAAGGAAAATGCAGAGGTTCAACAGCGATCCGCTCAGTCTGAGGCCAAAACGCTGAAGTTCAATGCAGTATGTGTGTGTGCTAGTCACACGGGAGGCGCGGGCCAAGGAGTTCTGGCCGTGGTTAGGAAGCATGATGTGTGTGTTTAGATACTTGTCCTGGGGCCCGATCCTGTCGCAGCCAATGCCTCTAAGTTGCGGCGCAGAATACATCACCCTTTCATCTATATTTAATCTGCTCTTTAGTTAAACTATAGGGAGGCAAGCAAGCCACTGAGACAACGTGTATTTCTATTTCAACTGTATCCAGGCGTTATATGTCCATCCGTGCTGATCATGAAGAAGAGTTTTGTGAACCGCATTAGATTTCCCTCTTCAATTCAGTCCCTTTGCTAGCCACGATTATACACACCCTGTGGCAAGCTGCTCCACCCAGCCTTAGCAAACCTTGCAGTCCAATGACGTGCACTCTCCTAGACGCTTGGGGCTTTTTTAAAAAAGAGTGTTTTATAACCCACCCTTTGCTCCTGGCCATGTCCCGTTAACCAAAAAGTTAGCTTTGAAATATGTAAAAAGAGGGGGAGGAGTAGAGCTCTGCGGGCCCAGTCAGGGCAGGCTTAGCTAAAACATTAACGTATGACAATTACTTTAGAGACGTGCAATTAACCTGTCAGCTATGGTTCCAATGGCCTTTTATTGGGAAAGGCGAATATCACAATGGTTTCGTGTGTTACCTTAGACAAGATCAACAGAGAGCTGAGAGGATATAAATAAGTAAATAAAGTTTAGTCGCCCTCCTCTTTCTGCCCTCCCGCACAAATGGGAACCTGATTACATGACTCGTTGTGACTCGAAATAGAATGCGATCATTATGAGTAAATATGATAGCTGGGGCCCCGCTGGTCCTTTTTTTCCAGAGGCACAATTATACAATATGAAGACTGTAAATTATGTTCTCTCGGATCTCCTAGAAAGAAGGCTCATTCAAAACAGAACTTTCTCCGCCCAACTCTGTTCCCTTGAACCTCAGTGAATTCCACAAAGGAGTAAGGCAGGTCTGGGTTCAAGTGCTTGTTTATTGGCTAAATGTCACCAAACGCTATCTAGACGTAGCCTATTTGTCCCAGATTCTGTAAGATGGCAAAACAGTCTGTGGTTTAAAGAGCCCATGCTTGTACTGCCAGCCAATGTCAGATCCTGGGGGTAAGCTCATTCCAATGCTGGTTTACAAAGTTCCCATGTTTATTCCGTGTTTCTCAGGAGCATTTTACATATCGTTGCGCAAGAAAAGGATTTTGCCCGCACCAAGTTATGAGATTTGCTAGGTTTTTTAACAGGCAGAGCCCCTCACAAAAGCTGTATTGTTTGCCTGCGGTCTGGGTTTCCATTTGGGGTAATTATTGTATTCCCAGTCTTCTTCTAATCATTTGCTCATAAAGCCATAGTTTTTTTTCTTTTGAAGAAGATGAAATACTCCAAATTGTAAAACCTTTGGAACAATCCCCCGCTTCTTTTCCTATTGTGCAACAGCCAATCCTTACACGACGATAAGTCACTGGAAAACATTTGATGCAAAGGCCATTAGAAAAACGTATATCAGGGAGAAAAACATGTCGCCACATTTTCTTAAATCGCAAATTGTAAAAGTTCCAAGACCTGAGCCTCTTCCCAATAGAGATATTTCACTTTTGCATCAGATGTGCCCACTGAAACGAGTAAGAGTATTACTCTGCAGTGAAGGTATCTGTTTCAGCTAAATAATCAATTTTTTTGGAAAATACAGACGAAGGAAAATACATGAAGACAAATATCCCCAATATGGTTTAGACTCTAGAGGATTTTTTTCTTCCATCCCCTGATCAGGTGAGATTCTCAACGGGTGTAAACTGTTACAGCCCCACGGCAGTCAGAGTTGCTCCGCCGCTTTTACATCAGAGGAGAGCCCTGCGGATAGCTAATCTGAAACTGACGATGCTTTCTGCTGCACTTGTTTTTAGCTTTCCTATTGTCATCATATAGCGATGCATGGTAATGCGCCTTTTCTTTGAGCCGAGGGTGTGTATTTATTCAACCCTGGGGCCCGATCCGCCGGGAAATTCCCTCTGTGCTCGATGGGAATAAGGTCACCCGGAGATTTATTTTTACCTAGTGACAATGGGGGTTGTAAAATGATTGCATCAAGCCATTCAGGCGAAATATGGATGCCAATTACCCTCCTTGAAAAGGAGGTTATAACTATATGGTAACCGAAACCAGCTATCTTCTAGTCAAAGGGGGGAAATATACTTCTAGAGCTTTCGAAGTCATTCACAGATTTTAAATTTCCCTGTGTGCAACCGCCTGGTTAGAAATTCACCACGTTCTTTCGCACCTGATGGCTAGCTAGGATACTGCAGAGTGACATCATTCCAACATATCGGTGTGGCCAAACAATGTCTTTGCCAGAGGAGGGGGAGGGGAATTCCTAATATTTTGTACAACCCAGGCTTTGCTGTGGGAAAGCGCAGTTTCATCAGAGTTGCCATCACCCCCAGAACTAGACGCAACCTAAACTGGCCTGCTGCTGGCATGATTAGAATCTGGAACTGCCGAGATAACATGTTTAAACATCAGCTCAGCTCCGGTTGCAGTCATGCTATTCCCGGCATATGTGTTATGGACATTATTTGTGTAACGGGTATGCCAGCCCTATTGGTGATTTCACTTTTCTGTTCAACAGCCAGGATTTCCTGCAAGTTTAAAAAAAAAAGCCTCTACCAGCCTTTCAAACAGCCTCGAGAGTACTCATTAAACTCACCTCTATGACACACACAGTTCACTGCCCCCACAGAAGCAAGAAAAGGTTGCCCAGTGAAGGAGAGTAGCTGTATGTCCTTTGGAAGCAAAGGCTACTGCGAACCTAGTAAAAATATTTCCCCCTTTACTGGCGAGCCTGTGGTAGAGAGTCTGAAGATGCAGGCCTATTGCTATTAAAGTTAATGGCAAGATTCTCGTTGATTTTTGGATATACAGGATGGGACCTGTTACTCTTTTACTAAAATCCAGTAATATTCCCTTGCTAAATTCTCATTTTGAAATGATCAGAAAGAGAAATGCAAAGTGCATGTCCACATGGGTGTGTGGGAGTGTGGGGGTGTGCACCCCTGAAGTGTTATTGTTTTAGTTGTGTTGGTCCCAAGATATGAACAAAGTGGATGAGGAACATCTTTTACTGGACCAACTTCTTTTGATGAGAGAGACAAGCATTGCAGCTTACACAGAGCTTCAGCTCTATATCTATATGACTGTTAAAAGAGGAATAATGTGTTTATTGGATATAATTCACATGCACCTATGTACATAAAGGAGATGTAGTATGGCCTAGTAGATAGAGCACTGGAATGAGACTCGGGAGATTTGACTTCTAGTTCCAATCTACTAGCCTGCTGAGTGATGTTGGATAGGTCATTTCACTGCAGTTTCCCCATCTGTACAGCTCTATGCAGTTAAAAAATTTGTATCCCCATCCATATCCACAAAAATGACTGACAGATATCCACAGATATAAAGCAGATATCAGCAAATGTACAGGGCTGTAGATACAAATTTTGCATCTGCATCCACAACGGTATATCCACGGATGCAAAGCTCTGTAAAATGCAAAGCTCTGTAAAGGCTCTGTTTACCCATCTGTAAAATGCAGATAAGGATACCTCCCAGTGAAGCTAGGTATAAACACACGCACATATTAATTGTATGTCTTTATACTAAAAATACTAATTTACAATATTTGATCATAGTGCCTTTTCTTAAGTAGAGTAATATATTTTAATATTTCTCTGTGTTTTTTGGATGCTTAAGGAAGAAAAATAAGCAACAAAAAATGGAAGTATTTCAAACTGATTCTGTCCTCGCCACCACTTTTGGCTTTTCGCAGCATCTACAGAGAACTACATTATCCCACTCCCACGTGTAATTAATTTTTCTACCCGTGTGTCAAACGAATTATGCTCCCTTTGACCTGAGCAGTAAAATAGTAACGAGATTTGATTGGAGGGGGGAGGCGGAGGGGAGGGAGAGAGAGAAATCCATAGTTAGGAAGATAGGAGAGTGTAGAATGCATTCACAGAACCATGCTTATTCAGAGAAACCTACCGACACTGCATTGGCTCACGGAGCAAAACTCTCTTTGATTACGAGAAGGGTTGCACGACTTGGACCTAAATTGCAAACACTTCGCGCCCTTGGGAAGTTATTCACAGCAGCAGCTCTAAGAACCCAGACAGAGGCTCCTGCTATATTTACCTCTTAGACGTCAGCCTTGACTTTTTCTTGACAAATGGCTCTGATTGAGCTCACCTGACCACATTCAGGTCGCCTCCTCCAGTTTTCTTTTGCCCGCTGCTTCAGAGCAGTGGGCGAACCGAAGCCTGGAAAGCAAAATAGTTGTGTAGGCACAATTCCATATTTTCTTTCTCTATGCTCGGGCTCTGAGAATACGATCGTGAGACTGACCCGTAGAGAATAATAATGTATGTTGTGGTAATTAATGTTCAGCCAGACACATTTCTGTGCCAGATCAAACCTCTAAGGAAGGTCGTTAATTCGACAAGGCTCTTTTCCTGATAACAAATATAAGCACGTTGCTTCCTCCGTTACTTATATAGAAGAATAGAGTCTAAAACTTTCCTTCACTTCAGTGGGAGTTTTGAGCGAGCCAGAACTGGGCGAAAGTATTGAAGGTCGTTCAGTTCCGGTAACAAGAAGACTTCAATCAAGAAGGCTTTTCCCACTTCCCAGGTTTATAACTCGGATTTGAATAGCAAGTGAAAATGCCAGGGTATTTGGAATTCACCAAAATATATCACACATTCACTGAAAGCTGATTCAGTTTGAATAAGAAAACGTATGCATTTAATTATGCCAGACACTTTAACTTTAAAAGCCAGAACAAAATACCCCAAACTCAAAAATAATGCAGGGATAAAAGTTTCTAAAACTCATTTTAAACTAGCTTTGCAAATACTGTTCGCACAAAAAGAAATCCACCCCACCGCTAATTACATACAACCTGGCTTACCCCGTGTCCTGCTCTGTCCTGCGCGACATTCCAGTATATAGGAAGCAAGTAATAATTTGAGATGATGAAAGGGTGAACTCTAAAGCTCCCATTATATCTTAAGAGATGTTAATCTTTATCTGCTCCGCGTTTATGGGCTTTTTTCAGCGAACATACACTGAAAATAACTCCTTCCCAGACTAATCTCATCCTGCTCTTTTCTATATTCTGTACCTAGTTATGCTGGTCACATTCTAATGATTTTTTTCAGTTGTGACCTTTAAGAATAAACTTCCACTTAGTTGGTTACTTCGCAGACAAAATCTGAAGCCTGCTTTAATTTGTAGTTTACTAGTCCTCTGATGTGAGACTACATAGAAAGTTCCTATCTGATCAAACGGCTGCGGCCCTGACACAGCCCAATTATGTGAAAATATATCCTTGCTTATCATTTCAAACATCATATCAGCGGGGAAACCGAAGTCGCTCCCTGTCTGTTTGATTTTCCTGTTCAGACACACTTGTTTAAACAGGCACCGCAATGTTTTTTTGCAGGCTTCCTCAGAGGAGTCCCGCATGCGTTTTACCCTTGAAAACACCAAACTTGGGCGATGACCAACTGGGAAAGTGGAGGTGCCTGTTCTCTAGCTCCGTGTAGGGTGTGTGGCTCGGAGGAGGGGAGGGTCTCCTGGCGTATAAAGGTCAGAGCCAAAGGTAGGTCTGGAATTTTACAAAGAAAAGTCTTGACACACGTTCCCGAAATGTCTAGCTGCAGCGACGTAAGCTGAGCGCGTTGTGCTGGATTCAGGAATAGCTGGGGGTAAATTTTCATCATCTATTTTGAAATGAACAGAAAACTGAACCAATTGGAAATTTTAGAAATATTTGTCTTTTGGGGGAGGGAGGATGTGCGAACTACAAGGAAAAGTATGAGTAGGAGAAATAGTAATGTGTGTGCAATGGGCCGGATCCGGGACGCCTTACTTCTGCTGTAAACCGAGTGGGAAGTTTCCCTGCTACGACCTGCAGACTCGGAAAAGTGAATTCTCCCCCTCTCTCTTTGCGCAATGTAACCAGTTAGCGAGTCTCAGACCCACACGGGTTGTGCAATCGTTGTTTCTATTTCTAGGCGAAGGGCCGCGCTCAGGAATGAGTCCAGGGTTCGGAAAGAGCCAAGCTAATGTTTCCAGCCCCGCTACTCTTGCGTGCGTTAAGTGTACACGGGCGGCTTTGCGGAGCAGAATGGGTTGGAACGTGACCAGCTGGCAAGATTCGCCCGGGCGAGATGTAGCGGCGAGAGCCTGGAGACCAGACCAGTGAAGAACTCGAGGCTGAAAGGCGCCTGCACAGTAAGGAGCCAGGCCTTCCTTTTGGCCCTTCTGCCGCATCTTGTGAGCATGGGGAGCAGTGACCGCGGGGCTGGGTGATTTATTTGAAAAACGACTCAGCGAACTGGGCCAGTGAGGAGCGCCTGGTTTTTCCCCAGGGTAAACACGGGGGCAGGACACACACACACATACACACACCTCTCTGCTTGTCTGAGATCTCTCTCTCTCTCTCTCTCTCTCTCACACACACACACACACACACACCTCTCTGCTTGTCTGAGATCACACACACACACACACACACACACACCTCTGCTTGTCTGAGTTCAAAGGGAGTTTTGCAGGATCGGCTGCAGGATCGGCTCTGAGAAGCGCGGGCACTTTGCTGGGTGTGACTCCAGGAAGGTGGTGTGTGGGGAGGAGGGGGGGTTGCTATTAAACAGGATTCACTCCAGAAAGCTGCTCCTGTTACTGTAGCGGCTACCTCTATCCTATGGAGCCCGGAGCGGTGCACCTGTAACACTTGTAACATCTCTGCTTCCCATTTCGTTTTCATTGCCACCGAGCGACGCCGAGTGAGTGCCGGGGGCTGGTGTGCTGTCTCCTCTTCTCGCGGAGAAGAAGGCGCCCCTTGATGGCACTTACAGGCATTCAAGCCGCCCGCCCCCATTAGCCTCACTGAGCTTAGCACACGCTGGAGTCGGGAATCACAAACCCCAGGGGAGCCGCAGGGTGTGGTTCCCACCGCATGCTACTTCGGATCCAAACCCTCCTGTGACAGGAGTGAACGCTTCTGCCTCTCGGGCAATAATCCCCCATCTTCTTGCTGCAGCCCGGCTTGCGGGCGGCCCTGGGAGCAGAGCGCAAGACTTTTGACAGCCCTATAAGAGGCCAGGGACCGCGTTCCTCAGCCGTGTGGTTCCGGGGAGCGTTGCAGGATCGGGCCCCGTTATAGAGTCCAAGATCACTTGTGTGTGACTTAAAAATCTCCATGAGAGTCTTATCTCCCTCATGCCAGCAATGGAACCTACAGCCAGTCAAGGAGCAGAATTTATTTGAGAAGGTGGGGTTCAATCAAGGCTATTCCCACTGTTTGAACTAGAAGGGGTTGATCCCAGACCACTGGATACAATGAGAAATGTTTCTACTTACTTCCCTTGGTTTTGGATTAGGCCCCACATTCTAATAAAACAATATTTTAGACATCTGGGTTTCTTATGTGATAGTCCTACTCCCATTGAAAACCATGGCAAAAGCCAAACTGACTTCCATAAAATTGGTCCTTGGTATGTTAAGTAGGTTCACATAAATTAAATGTAAACATTGTATAATAATCTTATCTTCAGGTTACATGACAAATATAATTAATTTCATGCTACTGTGTATGGAATCCTTTAAAAAATCAGAACAAGACAAAATCAATCTGGTGAACAGTCTGTACCTTTTTAGAATTGTTTTTCCTACCCATTGTCTCTCTCCTCTTCTACATTTTCCCTGTTAATTTATTTCCTGTACATATATACATATCCATGTCACTGATTGAAACCATATCTGAAAAACTTGCTTAACTATGTCCTTATCCCTCACATAGATTTCTTCACTATTAATTTTAAATACCTTTGTCTCATGCGGAGATTCATTTAAAAATCTGAATAGTTTTTTGTTGTTGTTTCTGGTTTTTTTAATGGATAATTGATCAGTTTAAAAGGACTGGAAATATGGAGAATAGAAATGCAGATATTAAGGATAACATTTAAGTAAGTTGGCAGGGTTAGAAAAAAAGACAGGCCATAGAACAACAACACAAGAACAAGTATAAACAATCCCCTTTGGATTGGAAGTATAGGAAGCACAGAGGCGCTACTAGAGAGGACAATTAGATCCTCCTTAAAAATGAAGATGAAGGAGATCTTTTGGAATGTGCTCACTATTGCTTTTAAATGGTACACATTTTATTTAAAGCTTATCTTACAGTACAATTCTTATGGTATCTTCATGATGCTAAAGGGATTGACTGAAAGAAAAATGTTTTCTGAGTCAATCCAGAAGTGATGAGTACCATCAATTCGCACCAAAATCTAGAGGGGTTGAGAATGCTCCACACTTTTATCTCAGTGTGTGCTCTAAAACCGGGGAAGCCAGATGTTGCTCAAATGAGGGCTACATTGCCAAATTTCCAGAAGCCCAGGGACCAAACATAATTTGCATAAAATGGACAGATTGCAAAGGATCCCAATTTTAATAAGGATGTAAAATCTATCAGATCACACCATGCCATAACCTGGCTTGCTTTGAGCAAGTCTGGTTGCATTGCTGAAGATGGAGGATTCTATTCTGGCATTTGAAATCTCCTCTGTTTATTACCCTGAGATATCTCATAGATTCGTAGAATTTAAGACTAGAAAGGACAATAAGATATTCCCAAGTCTGACCACGTGTGTTAAAAATTTTATCCAGTCACTCCTGGTTTAAACTCAGTAACTGGGTCTCACTAAACAAAATTTATGTTTGTGAAAAGCATCCAACGCTCATGTTGGCCCTGGGACCCAGCAAGTGTGAAACCCAAGCCTCATTGCCCAGGTATAACGTTACTTGACCCCCCAACCCCCTGTCACAATAGAAGCCCTTGGGATCGTGGAGTAATTTTTGTTGTCAGAACGAAGTCACAATGCAAGTTTGAGAATCGTTTATTCAAAATATCCATAAATGGTCTGGAAAAAAAGGGTAAACAGTGAGGACGCAAAATTTGCAGATGATACAAAACTACTCAAGATAGTTAAGTCCAAAGCAAATTGCAAAGAGTTACAAAGGGATCTCATAAAACTGGGAGACCAGGAAACAAAATGGCAGATGAAATTCAATAGTGATAAATGCAAAGTGATGACATTAGAAAACATCATCCCAACTAAACAAACAAAATGATGGGTGCTAAATTATCTATTGCCATTCAATAAAAAGATCTTGGGACTATTATGTATAGGTCCCTGAAAAAAATCCACTCAATGTGCAGTGGCAGTCAAAAACGCTAAAAGAATGTTGGGAATCACTGGAAAGGGGGTAGATGATAAGACAGAAAGTATCATATTGCCTCAGTAGAAATCTATGGTATGCCCACATCTTGAACACTGCCCAATGTCAGAAACGATATTTCGAAAATGGAAAAGGTACAGAAAAGAGCAACAAAAATGATTAGAGGTATGCAACTACTTCCATATGAAAAGAGATTAATAAGACTGGGACCTTTCAGCTTGGAAAAAAAAGACAACTAAGGGGAGGTATGATCTATAAAATCATGATTGGTATAGAGAAAGTAAGTAAGCGCTGTTTACTCCTTTTCATAACACAAGAACTAGGGGCCATCAATTAAATTAATAGGCAGCAGGTTTAAATCAAACAAAATAAAGTATTTCTTCACACAATATATAGTCAACCCGTGGGACTCTTTGCTGGAGGTTAAGACTATAACAGGGTTCAAAAGAGAACTAGAGAAGTTCATGGAGGATCAGCCCATCAATGGCTATTAGCCAGGATGGGTAGGGTCGGTGTTCCTAGGCCAGGGGCTGGCAAAGGGACCTCCACGAGCCGGAATGAGCCTGCCAAGTGGGTGGATCCAGCTCACAAACACTCTTCCCCTCCCTCACCCCCAGACCAATCAGGACCTGAGGGCAGGAGAAGTGCACAGAGTCTCTCACTCCCTGCCCCCCACCCTGCAAGTGCCGCACGCT